TTGGCTGAAGTATTTTAGAGGCCTGTAAAGATTTCCTGCTCATCACCTTGCTTAAGAGGAGAGGTCACATTGCACAACTCTGCCCTATGAAAATCCACCAACAGAAACACAGAATGGCTGGGCTGGAAGAGACCTTCAAGATCTTCTGTTTTCAAGATCTTGTGGACACCTTCCACTATCCCAGGGTGCTCCAAGCCCTGTCTGACCTGGCCCTGATCACTTCCAGGGATGGGCCAGCCCCAGCTGCTCTGGGCAGCCTCTGCTAGGCCTCACCACCCTCACAGCTCCCAATATTCCATCTGACCCTGCCCTCTGGCAGTGGGAAGCCATTCCCCCTTGTCCTGGCACTCCAAACCCTTCTTGTACCATTAATAAATTAAAAAAAAAAAATATTATCCCTGGCACAGTCTGTGCGTTTATTTAGCCAATACATCTGAGTAGGAAGCACAATCAGCAGAAAACATCATCTACCTGGAAAAAGAGCTCAGAGGAGAGGAAAAAAGCTCAAGGGACCATGGTGACCTGGGAGAGGGACAAGGGCACTGGGAGCAAGCACCTGTGAACTGGAGAGTTACAGCAAGGAGCATGGGATGAGGGGTGGGCTTGCCAGATGCAGCACTTCTCTGCACCAGGGATAAATTAAAAGTTAAGAAATTCCATATGAGGAGAGCTGTAGCTGGATGATCTTTAAGATCCCTTCCAACTCAATCTATTTTATGGTATGAGAGGATATATAAATAATATAAGAGATTAGGATATATCCTATTACAGGTCACACATTATGTATTATGTTTATATATTTATCCTGCTCACCATTTGGAGAAACCCAGACACGAGTGGGTGGCAAACGAAGCCCCCCAGTCCCAGCCATGCAACATCCATGGGCTCAAGGATGCTGGAAGGACAGAAGACAAAGCTCTGGGGGTCTCACAATGGATCCCAGAGTCACAGAGCTTGGAAAAGATCTCCCATTGAGTTCAGCTTCTGCCTGATCCCCACCTCACCAGCACAGAGCACTGAGTGACACATCCAGGAGTGCCTTTACCCCTCCAGGGATGGGGGTTCCCCCACCTCCTGGGCAGCTCCAGTGCCTGACCACCCTTTCCAGGACGAAATTCCTCCTGATGTCCAACCCTAACCCACCCTGGCACAGATCAGGGCTGTCCTTCATTTCACTCATGTGCTTTGAAATCTTCCTGCCCTGCAGATCCCATTTAAACAGCTCTCAGCATCCTGATTTTTATTAGTGCAATTTATGTGCTCTAAGCATCATCCCCTTCTCCCAAACATAAGCTGCGCTCGATGGAGTTCTGCCAAATAATAAATCAATAACTTGTGCAGCTTGTTCCTTCTCCACGGGTCATGTGGCCCACAGCTGGCCAACATTTCTCAGAGGGCAGCCACTCTCCCATCTCCAAGGAAAACAAATTTGCACTGAGCCTCCCAGGACTCAATGCTTGACTTCTGAGGGTTGGCTTTTGTCTTGGGAGGCAATAAAGAGGCGTTAACGCCAAAGCAGTGATGAGATACAGAAAAATCCCTCGCTGGAAGGAGAGGAAGAGTGTTCCAAGCAGTAGGAGAGAGACCTTTTTGCATCATTTATTTTAAATTTAAATATTTGAGATTGATGCTTTTTAAAATTAATTCACTCCCACATTAAATTCTAAATGTAATATTTAGGTAAGATATCTAAACTCATTTTAGAGTGTTATGTTCCTGGGGGCTGTTACTCCTCAGAATCATGAGGTGGATTCAGAGGTGGTTGGAGGTAGTGACCATCAAATCACACCTCCAACCAAACACCACCATGACTTAGTCCAGACTATTGGATTTCTCCACCTATTGCACAGGACCAGTAAACCCCACATACCTCCCTAAATATTTACAGAGTTTTGGATGGCTGAGCAAACATTCCATAGGATGCTTTATCCTGAATGAAATTCAATTTTTCAGGCTGAGATTTACTGGCTGGGACACCAAGCTCACCTGGGACTCCACCAGAAAATAGACTTCCCTGCACACCTGAGCTCCTGCCAATTGATTGTACTCCAAATTCTGTAATTTTTTCAGCCTCTACCTTGGTTATTTATGGATTTTTTAAAACAATAAAATCATGCCCTTGAAACTGAAGTTTGGTGGGTAAGCAAAAACTGGAAAAAGAGGTAGAAAAGAACTTTAATAGCAAGACCTGTGGGATGGAAAGCTACAGGATGAGTCCTTAGCCTCTGCAAAGCATCAGCTGAAGCAGGGAAAGGTGGGTGAGGTGGAGAGACCCAGATGAGCCTCAGCAGGGATGGGGAAGATGAGTGAGGACAAAGATGACAAAGTTTGGAGAATGGGATACATAAAGAAATAAAAACTTTTACTCCTGGCCCTTAAACTGCCAATGACCTGGAAACTTGGAGGAAACTCAGATCATAGTGGTGTGGTACTGGTGACCTCCAAACTAAACTTCCAAACTTCACCTGCAGCAATTATTTAGCACAATGCCCTAAAAAACCCCAAACTGAAGAGCTGCTGTATTTTTGGGAGATACCAGGCTGAAGATCAGGGATGCCTTGGTGATTGTTTGCAAACCACTGGAAATAGTGCCATCTTCAGACAGCAGGTTTAAAAAAAGATTCACCAGACACATTGTATTAGATTTCACCGTGGAAAAAAAAGAGAATAAAATTTAAGATAATCCCATGGTTCTCCCAGAGGACAGTGGTGGGTATTTTGGTTTCCATAACATCAACAGCATGTCATGGCAACAATTCCATCATGGCTAAATGCAGCTCTGGCTGACAAATTCTATTAGGATTTCATGAAAAATCCTCAGTGACTATTTAATTTTGCCACTTATTTTTTTGGCAGAGGTGTCTGGGTATCTCAGCAATCTCTCTTTGGCCTCCTGCAAGCTTTGGAGAGCTGAGGATTCAGAGAAAGATCTATCCATTTCAGTGCCTATCACCAAGACATGAAAGAAACCCTTATAAAGATACAAATACCTCAGATAAACTCACATTTTGAAGTAACAGAACTATTTTGCTCCCTAGAAACACAGTATTAACTTCTGGTCATCATTTGTAGACTCATGACTATCATTAAAAAACCTTTGGGCTAGTGATGAACGAAGAACATTCTGAAGACTCAAGATCTGAACATGAGTCCTTGAGTTTTCTTTCCTTCTAATCCACTCCTCCACATGCAGCTGGAATTCCAGGGAAAGTAAATGGTTAAACCATCCAATTCATACACCTAAGGACCAGTGCTCGTGCAGCTGCACAGATTTTGTATTTATAGACTCAATCCATGCCAAGATGTCTGAATTTTCCAGCAGCAGAGCTCACAGAGCTCCAGGCAGGATCCAGGAGGATGACGTGCTCAGGCATTAAGAGCTGGAATGGGCCCTTTGCAGTTTGATGGCTCCACAACTGCTCCTCACATCCACGGAGCAAACACTGACTCCAGTGACTTCACATGCCTGACAGATTTCCAGGAGAAAGGAAAGCTAATGAGCTCTGGAGCTGATCCAAGAAGAATTAGGGATTGCTGCACTCAGGACCTCTGTGCATCCCCAGGCTTGGGGGGATGCACTGACCTACTAAGAAATCCCAGCCCAATAACAGGAATTCCCTCGTGGCCGATGGCATCTTGGAGGAGGCTGCTGAAACCCCACCTCATGGAGGAATCATCTCTCCCCAGCTTTCAGGAAGGGTCCTCCCTCCTTGAGTCTCTTCTAGGGAGGGTATGGCAACATTTATAAAAAATCCAGCTGGTTTGGCTTTGTGATAGCATCAAAATTTGTATTTTTATGGTGGACAATGGGAAAATAAACCTGTCTCTAGAAATAGACAGGTTATCCCACTATTAGAGCATCTATTGAGTAGGGCACACCTACAAACAAAGGCCACTTAAAAAACTGAAATTAAATGGCTTTGAGTAGCTCTGCTCTACCTTATTAACCAAAACCAAAGAGATAAACAGAAACCATCAAACTCATGAACAAATACTCCCTAAGTGACCCACTTGTTTTTTGAACATCCTCATATTCAAGGCAACTTTTTCTTCTGCATTTTCCAAACTCTGACAACACTGGAGAAGCCCAAAACAAAACCATCAGGATTTTTGGGAAGGGTTGGGTTAATTCTGTAATGGTGATAAGGAGGGTTCCCCTTGGCCTCCCCCAAGAAGGATTTCACCTGGAGGGAGGACATGCAGACTGGCATGTAAAAAATAAAAGGCATTTTGAAGGTCTCTAACACATTTCTGTGTTGTACAGCCCAATAATAGCTGTCTATCCATGAAACAACACATGATGGTGAAAGAAACTTTCAGTTTTCTTGTCCACAAATGGAGAAGTCTCCTCCCATCACTCCAAACCATCTTGTGTGTGTTACCTGCTGGATTGCAGCCTGTGTTTTTGGTCTCCTAGAGTGCATTAATTTGAGACTGGAAAGCAACACCCTGTTCTAACATAAGTAAAGCAAAGCTTAAAGTTCAGCCTTTCCCAATCTGCCAGGGCTATTGAACATGTTAATGCTCTCAAGCCTGACCTCTGAGAACACATGACAGTGACATTTCCCCTCCCTCCCCACAAATCAACACTGGAAGGCAAAAAGCACTGCAGGATTGGGAAGGTTTTTTCACTAGATACCAAAAAATAACTTTTATGTGATATCAAATGGCACAGCACAATGTCCAGGCTAAGGCAAGGAAGGAATTGCTCATTCCTTGATAAGCCCTCTGAGCACATATCAAGGAGACAAAAGGGGTTAAGGTCTTCATGATGTTTTTGGAAGTCAAAATGTTTATTTTAAACCAGCAAATGCCTGGCTGGATTTTACTTTACAGGTGGAAGTTTGTAATTTAGAAGGTCAGTTTGAAGTTAAATAGGAATAATTCAGTGTACACTCCTTAACAAAACACAATTAAAGGGACAATTTCAGAACTTTATCAGGGCCACAAAGTCATGTCAATATTCACTGGCATTAGAGAGTAAATATTTCTGGACTTACCTGTTCCAGTTTAAAGATGTGTTGGTTAAAGTAGTGCTGCAAGCGCTCGTTGGCAAAGTTAATGCAGAATTGTTCAAAACTATTGTTTTCATAGTCTTCAAACCCAAAAATATCAAGCACTCCAATGGATAAAGTCTGCAAGAAAAGTAAGAGTGAGGATTAGAATAAAATCACATTAAGTGGATTATTTGTACACAGTACATAATCAAAAGCACACAGACAGAATTAAATATATTTAATAGTAGGAATTTTACTAGAATTGTTGATATTGTGCCATTTGGAAGACTCCTCCAAATCAAAGAGACAACATGTAACTTTAGATATCTGGACAAAAGGACTTTTTCTAAGAGAAAAGCCCTTCAAGAGGTGATTTTGTTTTTCTTATTTACAAACAAATGGCCGTCTTTGAAGAAACCTGAAGCCTCTTCCAAGTTACTCTATTGGATTTAAGAGTATTGCTCTTCAGAAGGGAAAAATGGGGAAACAAAAGCTTGCATGGTGAAGACAATCCATGGAAACACACCTCCAAGGTGAAAGCAGTGTCCAAGCAAACCCACTCCAGCTGCAAACCTCAAAAAGAAACTCCAAAGCATCAGAGCTTCCCATGGAAACAATCTTTACTTCTCCTGGTGAAAACTGAAATAGTGTCACAAATAAAGCATCCACCTTGTTTGTCAGATGGATCAGACAATGGGCTGGTGTTTGGGGGCACTGAGTCACTCCTGCCTCCCTGAAACAGAGGAAATAACACAAAAATAATAATAATAATGCTGGAAAAGGAAGCCCAAAGCCCTGCCTGACACTCAGCCCTAAGTGCTGGCCCAGCCCTGCCCGTGACACCTGGCTGTGTCCACGTGGCTCTTCTGTGTTCTGGCACCTTTTCCCACCAGCTCCTGCCAGTTTGGGACGAGGGATATGGAGGGGCACCTCTGGGTTCCTTTAGCTCATGGGCAAGAGGGGTGTAAAGAGAGACCCATCCCATTTTTTTTACGAGCCCTACATTCTCTCTAACAAACTTCCATAAGTTCACAATAGGGAAGTTTTATTAAATCCATAACCCATAATATAAATTGCAAGATTTGGCCAGTTACAAATCTAAAGAGCCTTTTTTTCCCCATCACTTTGATGATTTTGTGAACCTCAGCCGTATCTTGCTCCAGGCTTTTCCCCAAATTGAAGAGCCAATGCCTGTTTGGTCTCTAATCTACAATTACCTCTTGAGATGCTCATCAAGATGTGGCTGCACCAAGGTTTCCTGTATTGCTAAAGAGAGCTCAGTGCTGCAGTGAATTCCCTGCTTGCTTTGCATCCTCCTGGCCCCTGCTCTCCCCACACCAGCCAGGCCAGGAGGGGCAGCTGAGCTCTGGCCAGGTGGATGTTGGCCCACAGGTGAGTGCAACCCATCACCTGCTGGCTCAGGCTGTGCTTCCCACCCTTGATGGGAGCAGAAATGTGGAACTTTTTCCCCTTTGTGTAGGTACTGGGTTTCATAAAACTTGAGCCTTCTGCCTGTCAGATGGACTTGGGAAACCCAGAGGAAGAGGGACATGGGGATGTGCCAGCAAATAAACCTCATCCACAGGGGGAGCTGGGGTGAAAAACAAGCTCAAAATACAGTTTCTGCTGCAGCTTCCATGCCTGTACCTGACTGTTGTGCTAAACACCTAACTCATAATTAGTGTCATAAATAAAACTCATACTGTGCCCACCCAGACAGGCTGCTGTCATCAGAAAAGGAGTGAAGAGCCTGAAGGACACATCTGGGGAGAGCTCCACCAGCAGCTTGTTAGGGCACCATGCACCAACCAAAGCCACCTCATACAAATACTCCTTTCACCCATTACCATTAATTAAATAATTAACAAGAGAGGTAAAAACATTAGTACTGATCAAACGAGCCAAGCCTTAAGTAGGGAGGAGAAATATCCCCTCCCTTCCACCTCAAAAATCCTGAGAGCTGCCACATGCCCTGGTTTTAGTTCTATGGTGTTACCTGCACTTTGGATTTTCTAACACCAATTCCACTGCCAGGAACACAAACCAGACTGTCCACAGGCCTCTCCACACTGCCTTTTGTCCATTTTCAACACGTCACACAATGTGGGAGGAAAATATTCCCTCTGTGCCTGACTGCTGAGCAGGGAACCACCTACGGCTGCAGCAGGCACGGCTGCCGTGGGCAGAGCAGCAACGGGGCCCTGAGCTGGAGCTTTGTCTGACCTGGACCCTGGCCACTGGGACAAGCACAAACACAACAAACAAAGCATTTCAGCACAAAGATAAGTCTTCAAACCATTTTCCAAGAGTTCATTGACTACTTCATCTTTTGTCCAGGCTCTTCTCCCTGTTCCAGGGCCAGTCAGTCTCTACCTCCCTGATGCCATGACAGGGATGAAGGCCCTTGGCCACTTTCCCAGAAGTTTGCATCACTCGACAGAACACCCATGAGAAACAGCTCTTTGACCAGAAGATGGGAATTGGGAGCCACTGGACCAAGGACAGCCTGGCAGAGGATTCACCCTCACCCTCTGCTTCCTGAGGTCCAGCATCTTCTCCTGCTTGTCCCGATGGATGTGGCAACACTCCTGCTCACCAGGCAGAAATCTGCCTCATCGTTTTTAAACACATCTCAGGAGGAACTCTTCTTAAACTCTCTGTATGATTATTGGATCATATCTTATCTATAATATCCATGGAAAAATTGATGATGGAAACAGGACAAAGTGACTTTCCTCATCTCCCTTGCAAATCCCGACCCCAACCACCCCATGATGTTCAACCTCATCCATACAATATCCAAAAGTTCCAAAAAATTCCCCTACATAAAAGACTCTATTCCACCATATACAAACAAGACTTGGAAGATAAAATGCTCACACTTCCAGACTATTAATGAATTTACTGACACCACTTTCAAAAGCATCGTGTTGATGCCCTGTGGAAATAGTTAAGCCCCTGCCATGAGCGAAGACTTCAATCTGAGCAAAGTCTTAAAGCTCTCACAAATTTAATTTAATATGAAACAACCGAGCACAAAAATCCTCTCCCTTTTTTTCAAATCCTGGTTCATTTACTGCATTGAAACTGCTACCAAATATATTTCAATGTGGGCGTGGAAATACACTTATAAAGCAAAACAGAAGAGTCATATACAGCAAAAAATAGCCCTGTCAGTTATAAAAGAAATATTAAATTTTAAAGCTGTGTTTTATAATTTTTTTGCTGACACCTAAAATTAAACACACACAGAATTAACATGATAAAAATATTATTATAAAAATAACCTGCATTTCACAGAACCACTGCAGGTATCAAACCACGCATCCAGGAGGAGGATGGTTAATTCTGCCATGGTTGTTATACAGAGTAAACCAGCATTTTTCTCACATCCCTGTGTTTGTAACTACCAAACTCCTCCAGAATACAGATTATAAACTGTGTGGTTTTTTGCAGAGTTTCATGCCAGAGAAATGCAGGCAGAGCTCTGCAGTGAAACAGTCATTTGTCCTCTGCTCCCAAAAGAACGGGGCCAATGCATGCCACTTGGGAAAACTTTAAAAGCTGAAAAATTTAGAATTTATGGCTGTTTTTCTGCTCTCTGTCCATTTATTTATGATTTTTTATAAATATATATATTTATATATAAATATAATATATATAAATATTTATCATATTTATCATAAATAAATATTATCTATTTATTTATGATAAAGCAGCATAAATGTACTAACACAAAGTCAATTCTTGTAGCAAGGTGAAAAACCACCATTTCCATTTACATATACAGAAATTAATTTTGCTAAACTGTCTGTAAAAAGTGTGTAATTGGTTTAGAATGAATTTTGCAGCCCAATATTTAAAAAAAATAATCAAGGGAGTTTAAAATTTACAAATCTTTTAAGTCTTCAGCTCCAAATCTGTTGTTTGAATAGGTGCCATGCGGAAATCACACAAAGATAACTTAGAGCTTGACTTGCCAAGTCTAGCTTGTGTGTTAATGCTGTTTCTTTATCAAAACTAACATATAAAATTAAAAAGTGTGACTGCATTAATTAGCATCTCAAAATTCCTGTGATTAAAAGTGCACGTCTGTGAGGATTTTTAAAATTTGGGTGAACCCTGGGTCAGTGAGCACTTGCTGCTTGAGATGAGGAAAAATGACCTCATGCTTTTCTTGAAATGTCTCAGCCATGACATTTAAACACAGAGCAGGAGTTTTAAGGGCTTTTGGCAAATGATGACCTTGAAGCTCGGTGCTCTCCAGTTCCCAAAGTGCCAATAAATAGGGATCATTGGAGCTGATTTATGTGGCCCCAAATACACACTGGTGATGTAATTCCACCATGGAGGTACATTTTGGCAATCACAAATAGGTTTGCTTCAAATTCAGGGGAAAAATCTTGTTTATTGCTATTTTTAATTTTTTTTACCTCTTGTCATTTTAGTAATTTCTTTTCATTTGTAATATTCCAAAGCCAATAGTGCAAAAAATCCCTCCCCAAAACCCCAAAATCCATCACCACTTCATCCAACAGGACCACTCCAACCTACATCACCCCAATACACAGGATGACCTATATGTAAAGTGAAACACAGTGATTTGCTACAAACTTGGTAGTTGGGACCTAAAATTAATGAACTGATGCACAATAAATACCCTGCATGTCCAGCAATTCTTCCTCTGCTTCAGGTCAGAAAAAGCCAAGAATTAACTGGTTGGTTGAATTTAAATGAATTTTCTTCACGGCCATGAATTCATGTGTTCAACCACGAATTTTTCTTCATGGCCATTAATTTTAATTTTCTTCACAGCCATGAGTTCACCATCATCCCCACGAATACAGCACATCATCCAAGCATGGCAGCAGGGTGATTTGGGAAGAAATTAAGACACTTCACAAGAACCAAATGGGGAAAGATTAAAAACACCCTCAGAAATGCCTTTTGATCCACCATGATCTCCACTCTATCATATTTTTAAGAGGTGAGATGGACTTCTAGCAATTCCTAACCTGATTTATGGAAGGGGAATTCAACAAGAGGCTCTGGGAGGTTCAGTAATCTCGTTCTCAAGAGAAGACAAAGTCTCTGGCCTCATTAATAAAGGTCAAATTTCAGACAGTTTGTAGGCAATCATGAGTCCATAAAAGGAACTGAAAGGGGTTGAGAGAAGATGAAGGAAAAGGGAGTCAGAGCAAATCCAGCCCATGGCAGCTCTGCCATTACCATAAACCAGGAGGTATCAAATAACACATTCACAACTCGGGTCAGAAATAATATGCTAGAAATCCTGTCACCAAGCAAGATAAGCCAAATCCCACTGTGTTTTCCCAAAATATTTCACTGCACATTTAACTAAATTTGGATATCAAAGGTCTGATTTACATCTTCCAAATATTTGCTGGACAATATGGAAGAACAACGGCCGAGTGTTTATTTTTCTTTGCCCAGCTTCATCTTTTGATCTTCTCCTTACTGCTGATATCAAATAAACACATATTGGGATCTGAAAATGGTCTCTGTTCCCATTGTCCCACTAAAATCAAATCTACACTGATGAAGAGAGAAACTTCTGTATTAATTTTTCTCCTCAACTTCTCCCACACACACTCTAAATTGAGATGGTTTTGAGTCTTGTTTTACCTCTGCATAATGTGATTATTATAAAAGAAAGCTCTGTGCCCCAAATCCATCATCTGACACTTTCTGAACCTTCCAAACCTGCAGGATTCTTTCAAAATGCATCTTAAAAGTCAGAGGAGTATCAGTGTCAAGCATGGGCTGGGATTAATCTGAGACTTTTACTGCAGGGTGAGTCACATATTATTCACCCACTGCACACCCAGGGGTTTCTGAGGAGCAAGGCTGTATTTTGCTCTCATAAATCAGAGATTTGATGTGTTTCAGAGACTTTTTTGGCTGGCAGCAAGGAGATGCCACCCATGTGCCAAGGTCTTGCCTTGCAACAAGGAGGGTACTCCCAGGGTTTGGAGATGCCAATGCTCCCAGCCCACCTCCCAGTCACCCAACTGGTGCTGCCCAACCTCAAAACAACACATGGGTGTTGTAATCTTCGCTGCAGCATTGTTCTCGCCTCTCTGCTGGGGCTCTTCTCCATTCTCTGCCACACACTCCTTCCTTTCTTCGCAGGGACTCCTCTTGGGCTCTCAACCCACCCCTATTTATCTCAGTTACCTTCACGAGCTACAGCTGCTGCCCAACTAAGGACCCTGCAGCTGCAGCTCGTTTGGAGCAACTGGGACCCACACAGGTCTTACAATACAACATATATTCAGGCCCCCACACATGGGAAGCTAAGGACAACCTGCATCCTCATCTGGGGCTTCTCCAAGAACGAGCTGAGAAGGAATTCAGGAGGATTGGGAAGCGGGAGGAAAAGCCAGATCAGTTGTTGGCTCCTGTTCTCCATGGTGGTGACTCTCGGCTGGTGCCTCAGTGGCAGCTGCAGAGCCCAGATGCCCTCAGACCCTTGTTGGCAGCAAGGTTATTCCTCGAGGGCACAGGAGCAGCTATTCCCAGCCCTGCCCAGTCCAGGGAGACATTTCTCCTTTCTCTGTGCTGGAACTACCCAAGCTGGGGGCTAAAAATAGGGCTGAGGAGGTGACGTTGGTAGAACCACTCAAGGGAAAATTGGCTGTCAATGTTTAACAGAGCTGCTCTGAAATGCACATAAATCTCTTCTTCGCTGTCTCCACCCCTAAAATGGGGAGGATTTGTGCGTTTTCATGATTTCTAGGGGATTTGTGGGACTCAATCCAATTCGTAGAGGACTCTGAAGATAAACTGAACTACCCTTGTGCCTGGAGCAGCAGATATTTCCTGGTATTTTGTGCGCTGCCTTTCTGCTTCAGGAACTCTGGCCCAAGCTGTGCCCAGGATTGCCTCCCTGGAGCTGGGTATGAGCACACTCTGCAGCTCCAGGTCCTGGGCATTGGCCAGCGTGGGTGCATCTGCTCTGGCACAGGGGCAGCACCACTCCCAGCTCCTGCTGCCTGACCTGGATATTATTACCATTAGGATTTTGGGGTGAAAAAAAAGGGTTGGAAACCTGTGAATTGTGAATTCATGAGATGACACACAGAGGTGGGCAAGGGGGAAGATGGTCACACTCCATGGGAGTCTTGGCTGGAGAAAGCAGAGGGTTAATGTGCAGCAGCAATGTTGGAGAAAAGCAGGAATTTGGGCTGTTCTGGCTCTTACCTGCTGAGATTTGAGGTTGGGATCAAAAGTTTAATTGCCCATAAACAGCTACTGTGGTGCCTCACTTTCACAGCCATGCTGACTAAGCACACAGGAGTGTCCTAGACTGATTTGTATTTAAATATTACAGAACAGATAATAATTTTAAAGAATCATTGGGTCATAAATAAAAAATAATTAGCATTTGAGATGCATTTCCTTGTCAAAACAAATCCACTTTTCTGCTTCACCAAATATGTAAACAGTGTGGTTTGTTTTTTCCTGACAGCCCAGACAAAACTTTTGATTACTTGGAAAAAAATCAGGAAAGAACACAACATTTCTGGTAAAATATTAAACAGAGGGAGAGGCAGCATGTGCAGTCAGAAGGCTCGCTGGATGTTATCACTGTAACAACCCTCCTTTGTCAGGAAAACACATAACCAGATTTCATAGGCATGTTTTTATTTCCAGCCCACAATTACGCTCCACAACCCTTTTTTGGAATTAAAAAAAGGAGTGATTACACTGAGAATCTCTGCAACTTCAGTCCTATGGCACAATCCAAATGTCAGTGCTCAGCAAAAATCCTCCTTTTGGCAGCTGAGCCTTCAGTTTGTATGCACAACCCCCCAAAAAGCCCCACATGCTGCTGGACCAGACCATGTCCCAGATTCCCAAGGCAAGGGGAGCTGGAGAGCTGGCAGTGCCTGTGTGCAGGGACACAGATTTTGGGGTCAGTATTCCACAGCCACGAGGATGTGGATGAGTACACGAGAGGGTTATGGGGGATGTGCTGGGTCACAGCATGCAGGCCCTGCTACTGCAGGAAACTCCATGACACTCTTTCCATTAATTCTTTGGGAAGGTGGTACAGCATCCCATCAGCTCCATGGCTTCTTTTCTTTAAATTCATTTTTCTACTGTACTACCTCAGTACCTACAGACACCCACCTCCTTCATAATCTCATCAGGGAGCAACTTCACCAAAATGCAGCAGCAAGAATTCCCTTTTTCCCCTCTGAATTATACATGGCCCTTTAGTTTTACACATAAGGAGGAAAATATTTGCCATTGCTCCTGGAGTGCGTGGGGGAACTGGCTTTTGTGGCTACAACAAAATCTCCTCCCTGGTTGCTTTGAGCTGACAGTACTTGAGGTGCTTCATCCTTCTCAGCTCAGCAAGCACCACTTAGAATAATGATGCACTCAGCTATGATCCGAGGAAAAATTAACTTCATGTTAAGCAACACGCCTGGGTAATGTTTTATCACTCAGTTATCTATTTGAAAACCCAAGAGAGGATCCACAGGAGCTGCTGAGGTGTTACCTTGGTGCTTTCCTCCATGTCCTTGGAGTTGAGGAGGGCGTGGTTGATCCTGAACACGATCCAGTCAAACAGGGCGCTGTACAACGACTTGGCCATGGAATTCCGCACGGTCACGGCCTGGAGCAGAAAAGAAAAAAGGTGATTGGGAATGATTCCTGCTCTGCACTAAAATGGCTTTTGCTTCTCAAGCTCCCACATCCAATGTTCATATTTCTCCCTTGCCAAAATTTTGTCTGCTATTTTAATTTATGCCATGTATGTCAATGGTCCTATCAGCACTGGGAATTGGGTGTAATCCCAGGGCTGTGGATGTGCCCCTGACCTTGGCTTGGTTTCTTTCATGCATTCGAGTGGATGATACACAAGATCCCACCACAAATCCCATCACTGGCAAAAGGAAAAAAATAAATACACACATCAAATATGAATATAATAAATTCACCAAGATCCTTGAAAAGTTTCCTGGGGGAGAAGGAAAGAGAAGGGTGGATTTTGCACAGGAGTGACAGCAAGAGATGTGAAAGCACAGGCCAGGACAGGCAGTGCCTGGCACCAGCACAAGGGCTACAAAAAGGGAGGTTAAAAGCCCCTCTGGTAAATCTGAGGGTTCCTGAAAACTTGAAGTTTTCCAGGTACCACCAGTGGGAGCTACAAATCATGGCAGGCAGGTTCAGCACTCCTCCAGCAGCTCTCCCAGCGAGAGGAATAACAGAGCTGGGAAAGGGCCATCCCCATCATGGCCAGGATCAAAGAGATTCTGCTTGATGGGATGAAAGCTGAGATCAAAGGAAGATCCCTGGGCTTTTGGACAGGCACCTACATAGAGACCCAGAAAGCAGGAATTTCTATTTAAAGGTTATCTTTGTTCTTGCTTCTTGAGATTCTTCCTTGGTTTCAATTATCACCACAAGTAGAGCTTTGGTACATATTAATCACCCAAAAACTTATGGCACCAGCCATGCCTGCTACACTCTGGTTCGTTTTAGCCACTGCAGAAGAATAAAAAAGGAACCAGAAGATTCCCATGTAATTATTTCAATTAAACCCTGAACTGTAACAAATCAGTGGCTTGTCACACATTGCCTTGAAATCCTTCTCACCAACGCTCCCTTCGAGGAACATCCTCTGAGTGGCCTCATGTCACTGACCCCAAGGGAAGGATTAAAGCTCATGTAGCATCATTTATCTTCAATCAGCTCACTCCCACCTCTTTTCCCCTTGATTTTCAGAGACAGCAGCATTTAGTGTGACCACGAGCCGTTCTGCCAATGTTTTGCTATTAAGCACATGGTCTCACTTCCTCTCTGTTCAGCTGGAATAGGAGAAAGGGATTAACACAGTCCACGCCAGGAGAGATTTGGGTTGGATATGAGGAAAAATTTATTCACGGAAAGGGCTGTCAGGCATTGGAACAGCTGCCCATGGCAGGGGTGGAGTCCCCATTCCTGGAGGGATTTAATGGATGTGTGGATGTGGGGGCCATGGGTTAGCGGTGGCCTTAGCCCTGCTGGGGGATGGTTGGGCTGGAGGAGCTCAGAGGGCTTTTCCCACCTCAACAATTCCATGGTTCTGTGGCTGAGGATGCTCACAGCCTCTCTACGCTGCTAACCATAACGTGGTGGCAATAAAAAGTGACATCACAAGGTAACTACAAAATATGGACATAATTAGCAAGGAATTCCTCACCCAAAAAACAACTGAAAACAAGCATGTGATGTAAATAGGTGAGCAACAGGACTGAGAGGATTTCGGTGCAGCTCAGACCAATACAGCAATTTTAAAGAGTGAGCACTTGAAATGCTGGAGTTCTCCAACAAGGGCTGGAAAGCAGCCTGCATTTCAAACACAAAGAGCTCCAGTTCTCACTAACTGCTTTTTCTTTTCTTTACTGATGAAAAAGGTTTGGGGTGGGTTTTTGGCTGTTTTTATTAAAAACAACATGGGTTGTTTGGGTGGGGGAGGTTGCTATCTATTTTTTATTTTTTTAATTTACTCAAATGTGAAAGAATATCTCAGCAATTAATAGAAAATTCAAGGCTCCATCTACACGTTTTTCATTGAGCTGGAAGACAATCAGTGCCACAGAAAAATCAGTCTCTGGGGAAAGACCTAAGGCCAAGATCCAGGAATGCCTCTCACTGCCCTAATGCTTTGTCCTGGCATAAACCAGCCCAATTAATTGCTCTAACAGGCAATTAAAAACAAACTCCATCTCTATTTAAAGCCAAAAAGAACACAGTTGTTTCTCCTACAGCATCATATATGGGTTTATGTCACAATACTTTCCATTACCTTTTATTAGAGGCTACAGGGATGTGCAGGACTTCACCAACAGGTGAATGTTTGATTGGTTTTGTGTGAATTGTTTTTGATTTAATCACCAATCATGGTCAGGCTGTGTTGGGACTCTGCAAGCAGTCACAAATTTACATCATTATCTTTTAACCTTCTGTCTGTATCCTTTCTGTATTCTTTAGTATAATTTAGTTTAGTATTCTTGAATATATTCTAGTATCATAAAATAATAAATAAATGAGCCTTCTAAGAACATGGAGTCAGAGTCATCATTTCCTTCCTGCACAAATACAAATACACCAAAGTGTTCCCACAAATCCAACACCAAGGTGTTCAACAGCCATTTTTAGAAGCAATGGTCTAATCCTAAGAGCTGGTAGGAAACTCCTGGCAAAGCAACACATTGAGAATACAGAGTGGATGGAGCACACTGCCTTCGTCCATTTAAAAAATACCTGCACTGAAATGAACCTATTTTAAATGACTCAGGGCTTAGGGGGGGCTTTCTTTATTTGAATTTTTTATTTCATTTCAGTAAAATATTTACTTTATCAATAGATCTTCACTGATGTCACATTCTAAATATAGCCCCTCACTATCCTAAACAGATTCCAAAACTACCCAATCTGGAGACCATCAGGGAATATTATTTCTTTTCAAACTCAGGAGCTGCAGCAGAGCATTTAAAATAAGATTTTACGCTTTATTTAATGAGAAATCATTTATTTCTGTATTACCCTACATATCTTAAATTAATTCTAGTCTCTGAATTCTATCCCATACATCACATAGAGTTTGTCTTCAGGTCAACACCTGCAGCTTCTGGTCTCTTCCACAAGTCTCCTTTTGTGACATTTAGGCAGATCTGGAACATGGTGATCCTCATCAAACCATTTTTATTTCCCTCACAAAGCAAAATAAAAATAGCTGCTGCAATGCCAAAATAAATCTCTGGGGATCAAAGGGAGCAGGATATGTTGCACCCACACAAAAATATTGCTGATTCCAAACTGAGACAGATCAAACGTGCTTTGACTCAGAAGATCAGGAAATAAGCTACAGACAAGGTTTTAATCAATATTTTCCTGCTTATCAAGCTAGAAAGGATCTATATATTATTTATTACATGCCAGAAACTCCACTTGTTGGGTTGCCCAACTTTTGTTAAGATCCTGATAAAACATTTGAGTTCTTTGAGAGATTTCATTGCCAAATTAACTGTACTGAAAGTTGTCATGATCAGCATCGGATTCAGGCCACCTTAAAAATAGATAAACTTCTGGAAACATCTTCTGTTAAAAGGAACAAGGGGATGACAGGCTTAAGAATTAAAATCTGCTTTTGAAGTGCTTTGGAACAAGGACTTACAGTTCCAGCAGCAGCAGCAGCCTGTGTTTTAGAGGCTTGAAAAGATGTAATCTCAGGAACCCAAATTTGCTCAAATTAAAAGTCTCTGTAAAACACATTTGTACACACACAGGAGATTCTTGAGAACTGAGATTACAAAGTCACTAAATATATTTAAGCAAATCTGCTGCCATCCCACAGCACCCCCTGCTCCAGGCAGGATCCCTCACTCCTGCCCTTCTGCACTCAGCTGAGGGCTGAAATTTCAAGCTGGAATTATTCAAAATATTTGGTGGCACCCAGAAAATCCAGGCAAAGCCGGTGGGTTAAAAATCCCCACCAAACTTCTACATTGGAAACTACAAAAAAGACATTGTGGGGCTGGAGGCAGAGATGGAAACAGAGCTGGGGAAGGGTCTGGAGCACCAGGAGCAGCTGGGGGGGCTCAGCCTGGAGAAAAGGAGGCTCGGGAGGGACCTTGGGGCTCTGATCCCAGGGAATGAGGGGCAGGACAAGAAGGAATGGCCTCAGTCTGGGTCAGGGGAGGCTCAGGTTGGTGGAAAGGTCGGTCAGGCACTGGCACAGGATGCTCAGGGAAATGGTGCAGACTCCATCCCTGCAGGGATTGAAAAGCTGTGTGGATTACAGCGCCTGGGGACACGGGTCAGTGACAGAGCAGGGTATTCCGAGATGCTCAGCTCACCTTTTACAGACATTTTCACATGATTTTACTGGAAGTTCCCCCCATGATCCTTATTAGATTCAGTGTTTGTACTGCTGACTGACCTAACACACGAGCAAGAGCAGCAACAGCTCAATCTGAACAACAAAACCTCAAATATTTTACATTTTTCAGACTAAGGGGAATAAACAAAGCCCAGAGAACAGAGGGTGGGTGGAAACAAGTGCTGAAGGACTTTGAAAGAAAAATAGCAAAAATTGGAGCAAAAATTGCAGCAACATCCCTGGGTGTGCCAGGGAGCAAAAAGCAAAGAGATCCCACTGAGTTGGACCTGATAATCCTTGTGGGCCCTTTTCAACTCAGGGTCTTCTCTGAGGACAAAGCCATCAGGATGCTGCTGGAAGCTCTGTGGTTTAGCCACCCCCTTCCACAGCCAAGAGGAACATTTTCTGGAGTGTGGGCCCCAGATCCAGAGTGGGACTGAAATACAAGAGACAGACCCTCTTCTCAACGACTCCATCAAACCAACCCAACCATGGAGAGTATCTGCAACAGAAAGTGACCTCTGGTGTTCAGCTTTAAGCATTTTTGACCCAAACAAATCCATGGATGAAGGCTTTTGTAAGCAATAAATACTTCCTCTAACATTGTGTTTCAAAAGAGCCAGACTAAAATGAAGAACTGTTTCTGTTCAGGGCATTGCTTGACACAAATTAGAAAATTAGAAGGCCAAAACCAAAGCAAAGCTCATCACTTTTGCATCACTTAGGAAGAGCAGGGTATTGGTGCACTA